TATACATATATATATATACATATATATATATATATATATACATATATATATATACATATATATATATATGTATATATATATATATATATCCAGTAATTTATCCAGTAACTTTTGTTGCAGCCATCCTTATCACCGTCGAACCTCTTCAGCCATTCCTTGAACTCCTCCACCGACATCAGCCGCTCGCCGACGGCGTGTCTTTGATCGCCATGATAGGCTGCAACTCTGGTAGTTCATGTGGATCCATCTCGCTGGTATTTATATGCAGCAAAACCATGGTTTCGTCCTTGTTATCCTGTGAGAGGATAAGACTAGAGAACATGCCAACTCCGCCTTGCTTTATCTGCTACAAGAAACAAGATCTGCTTGGACGATCATATTGCGAAAGATGATATATGTATCTGTGAAAGCTTGGATCATTTACTTTCCTTCCTTTCGGATTCAAAGCATGAGGAGAGTCTGAAGGAATCTTGGCCGAACTTGTCTGTGGAAGATTTCTGTTTGAACACTGCATACAATTGAAGTTGAGGAGAATTTGATGACATTGAGACTGCTGTTGATAGTTCAGAAAACCTCATCTTCAACATACAATTGAATGAGCTCCATGAGGAAGACAATGTATTTGATGAATCAGAAATGAAATAGGAATATTATGTCAGTTAAGCATACAAACTGTGCACACCATGCACCACTTGTACAAGCTTCAAATATGAAGACAACACTTCACCAAATCGGCCAAGAAAGAGGAGAAGAAATGAAAAAGACTCGTATTTGGTACTCCCCATATCATGGAACCTTCCTAGCAACTCTTCTTTACGGCAATACATTCCCAACAACACCTAAAGAATGCAGCACTCTGTCAATCCTATATTATCAGCACAACAAATACAATATTTACACGAAATGAACAACACTGTTGGAGGACAACGGGACTCGAAACATACACATGCATTCATCTTGATCGATAATTGCACACACATCGAACATTCATCATCTTACTTGTGGCAGCTGAATACATGGACTTCTCCACGATTGGTTACGATCAGCTTTCGAAAGGTCAAGTCACAAATGAAGGTGTTCGAGTACCAAAGATTCTTATGAGACACTGGCAACATGAAAAAAAACTTTCTCAGCATATTTGCAGCGCGTCACCAAAAAATCTGCACAGGTGAATGGAGTTCAAAATTAAACGTAAAATCTAAAGATATTTAATTCATATATACAAAGAAATGATGAAGAAAAAGAGACGACAGCTTAGACCACCGCAAAATTGATTGCTTGAAATTTCAGAATGAACATAGAATGCTTTACCTTAATGTTTTTGAAATGCCATTATTTTTTAGCCAACTAATCTCTCATTATTAACAGAGACGAATTAGATCATCAAGAAGTTCCCATTGATCTCCTGACAAATGGATGCTCTAATAGTTGAGAAGCAGTGGGACGATCATCTGGATTCACTTTCACACACTGGCTAATGAAATCACGTGCATCTTTAGACAAGTAGCTTGGAATTGAAGGCTGTTCTCCATGGCCAATCCTATATAAAGCTTGTGTCTGCATATTACAATGAATCATTTATTACCCAATCATAAGGAAACAAAAGGAAAGGGCATCACTGTTACAAGTGCATTGATATCCATATCATATCCCTCCAAACAAGTAAATATGTTGTGATATACAACTGGCAAATTAAATAATGTACGAAGACAACAAGACTTTGAACTTAAATTAATAAGAAAGGTAACTCTAGTAGACAAGCAAACCAATACATCGAACCATCACAAACGCTAGCCATGGTAGCTAGTACTCTTAATAGTAAGGGAACCAATATCTCTATGGTCTCCTGAAAAATTTTAATTACATCCTTCACTCTGGAGGAAAGAAGTCAGTAGGGAATCCTTCTACTAACATAGATGTTCTATTATGACATTCGTGTTCACGACTTGACAAGAATACACTCTTTTCTTCTCATATCTAGTACAATCCTAGCACACTTTTAGTAGTAAATCTACATTTGAAATGTGTTGTCAATATGGAATTCAGCATGATGATGATAAGAATTTGCACTAAAAATTTACCTACCATTTAAAAACTAAATTCCAGAACACCAACATGAACTGTGCACTTTTTGTCAACAACCACCTAATTCAATCAAGTCAAAGGCCTGATATCAGATTTCAATCTGACATTCAGGTGGGTAAATAGTTTGACCTTCAGGTGGGTTCATGTTTTTGTGTGTCATTATGCTTTTTAACAAAGGGTTTTGCACATCATAAATTAATAAAATAAATGGGCTATCACTGTCCCTGTTACTGCAGCATGAACAGTGACATCTCATTATTCAAATTTCAAACAACTCCATGGTACAAAATTTCCAAACATCCTAATTAAATAGAACCCTTAAGACTATTGGGATTTATGGAAATGACGTCCAAAAGAGGAACACGGACTTACAAATGAGACTTCATGTGATTGATTTCACAAAAATAAATATTTCTTAAGCCGGAAGTTCCTCTTTTTCATCTTATTATTTTATCTACCCCATCTTAAACCATGTTTTCCTATTCCCCGTCAAGGTTTCAAATACCAGTCCAGCAAGGGACTGATATCAGACCATATGGTGAAGTAGTGGTCAGTATTACTTTTTTATTGGTTAGTACCAGTGGTATATATCGGCATACCTGGAACACCAGTATTGTACCAGTCTGGTAGATTACTGAAACCAGTACTGGAACTAGATGGAAAACCTTGTTCCCTGGAGCGTTTTTCTTTCTCTTACATGGTACTCCTATTTAGTTTGTTTGATAATAACAACAATAAGAACTTTGTTGTTCAGTCAATTCCTCATCCTATACTTATCCTAGTTGATTTCTCGAACAGTATACCACTGGTAACCTGCCAAAATCTAAAGACTAATCTCTACAAATCCATCTATTTAACAGATCTTTTTAACTGTTGAGAACCAATTTGTTGTTTTTTTTTCCTCTTTTGTCTTCTGTAGATCATTACCACTTCAGGCAATATCAGGTTTTATCTCCCCAAGCCAGATAACTGAATACATAGATCAGGGATGCTTTTAGTCTGATGGTGCTGTTCTATTTTCAAAATGAAAACCTTCAGAGCATTTGACATGGCATATGGTACTTCATTATATATTGTCCTAATTAGAGCTTCTAGCAATATTTAAGTTGTTAAATTAGCATAATGGTATTGCCACATAATCTACTTATGAGACACATCCTTTGAAAATGTTAAGACGTAATCATGAAAACTATGCACTGGCCATTATTATTATTTCACCACAGAATACTAATAGTAAGTACATACGTAGTTTTATTGTTTTCCCTTGAAAAGAGACATTATGTGGTTCAAAATTTTAGAAAAAATCAAACTAACTTTCATCTTGGTGTAAACATTTGCTGGCAACAAAATCATAGAGACTTCATCTGATTGAGTTCTAGGAGACTCATGATAACAACCAAGAAGTACCAGATAGATAACATTTAAATCTACCCTGAACAGTCCAAGTAATATGAGAAGAAATAAGAAAGGAGCTTAATTCAAGTTAAAATGAGATTGTACAATGGAGCAGCAACAAAGACAAAATAACAACAACAACAATCCATAAGATCCCAACGTCATATATGCTAGGCATGCAAAATCATGGTCTGTTGATCATCTTGCTTCCTTCCAGTTAAACCTTTTCACCGAGCACTAGTTCTTTCCCTGTCTAAATAGGTAGCTGAGCTAAAGAACACAACCTACCATTGCGAGTTCAGGTAATGCGTGTAAACAGACATATCAAATATGTAGAGAGTTAACTTCCATAACTCAGCCATGAAACCAAATTCCAGTTGGGGCAACCCCACTGTGGCACAACCAGTTTCTTTTTTTTTTTTTCAGAAGAATGTCATTTAATATGGCTGGCAGCATTGCTCAAGGGGTTGAAAACTTGAAATAACAAGGTCTTTTTGTTCATCCAATTTATAGTCACAACGAAAATATGGTTGCCATTCAGCCACATCAACAATACCAACTTACATGGATTGGTTGGTCATGCTAATTACTGTTACTAATATCATCCTCTACAGATGTCAAATAACCACTACTCTGTTCTCTGAAATTGGACATCTACAGAATAAAACTGAGCTAGATTCCTATCTCAATTTTTGGCTTTTTGTTTATCTCTTTATCCAAATTCTAGAACTGTTTTCCAGCCCATAACATCAAGTTTATAAGTTACATACAGCCAACTAATATAGCTCATAAAAAAAAGTTTGTTAAATATAGCCAACTAATAATTTGATAGTTACTTGCAATTTGGATTTAAGTGGTCTGTTTCTAGAATTAATTTAACAAGCCTTTGGTACATCTTTTTCTTTCCATTAGCAGCTTAAAATTTTGATACTTCACACGGCCTGATCTTTTATTAGGCTATTAAAATAATATGGTCGAATCATCTAAATTTGTGTCAATCTCCAATTAACTTGTTAATTATGCACTCACTAGTCTTTCGCTGGCTGGCTGCTCAACTGCATAAAATGTCATTCAGCTCATAGGGAGTGGTATTTGAACTCAGATAAAAGAGGTGACTGGGAAGGTAAAAATTTATTATTTTATTACTGAACTGGAAAAAAGGTTTGCTGAAAAATTGGAAACATAGATGGTATGTAATCCTAATATATAAATTACTCACCCACTCTAGATTTGGATAAGGTATCTGACGAGTCAACATCTCCAGAACTGTGCACCCAAGGCTCCATATATCTGCAGCGGGTCCATATGATCTTCTGGGATTAATAACCTGGAATATTGAAACTAAGAAATGTCATTGTTCATAAATGAATCTAAAATTTTGAACAACTTCATCACTGCTTCTCAAGTGAAACTTAATAAAGTAAATAACTTTGGCTCTCATCCAATAAATAGGGCTTGGCAGGTTAACGCACCATCTACAAGCAGTTGCTACAGTTCTTTTGCATATTAGTATAAATAAAGTCAGATATGAAGAGAAAACCCCTCGGTCACATGTGACAATGAATGTTATATCACATACTGTTAGCAGGTGGCGCTATGCTTTCAAATGATGCTGCTTTAAAGAATAAATCATTAGCAGAACATTTCCTGACTGCCACATCACCATATTAATATCATTATACATCTCAGATTCATGGCTGCAGGCAAAGATGCATCTCAGACTTGAATGGACATGTGGTATACAAGCTCAGAAAATGTCATCTCAAAGGAGGATGAGACCAAAATTTATCACGGATCATCATTTCCCCCAGATCGGTATGAAATGGCTACATACATACATACATACATACATACATACATACATACATACATACATACATACATACATACATACAGACATATACAAACATATATATTGAACACTCTTTAGGGGTCATATTTGAGAACCCTCTTCGCTCGTTTCACCTCTGTTGTCCATTTTGCCTCGCTCATCATGCACCACCAGCAAGTGCGCTTGCACCTCTACCTTCCTCCTCTTCATCCACTCCTCTTCTTCCTTCCCCTTCCTCCTCCTCCTTGCTCGTTCTCCCACCTCTTCATTCATCTCCCCTTCCTCCTCAGTGTACCATGTGTTGGTACACTGGTACTAACCATCGACCAGGCCAATACGAGTCCGGTTCCTAAAACGGCATTCTTGCTCATAATGAACAATTCCAAACATTTATTCTATATGAATCTATTTGTTGAAATGCACAACCCTGTCAAAGAATTATCTTGTTTAATAATCAGATATTGCCATGTTCATAAAGCATTTTACAGATTCTTTTGGCATAGGTTCCAGATTAGGTGTCGTTGATGGAAAAGAATCTATATATTCTCATTTAGGATGAAGAAGGGCTAACCTCTGGAGCCATCCAATAGACACTGCCTTTGCAAGATTTCAGCAAGGTGACCTTGGTCATCTGAAGTTGTTCACAGAAGCAGAATAAAATATGAATATAATGACACATTAGATATGCAAAGTATCACATGTATAAAGCAAGAGGGCAATAGACAAACCTCCTTTGCCAATCCAAAATCTGCAAGTTTTACAGAGCCGTCTGCATGAACCAATATATTTGCACATTTGATATCTCTGAGAAACGAAAAGATAGCATCTTAAGGTTGTCTTTCCATAAGCAAGAAAAGAAAATGACTGGGAAGACTTAAAAGAAATATTATCAGAATCATATATTCAATCCTTGCTTAACATTTATCTCAAAATATATGAAGATCCAGTCCTTATCTTCAAGCTAGCTCTTGAGGATTAATAGAACTGTAAAATCAGAACAAAAACACAGGTGCCTCAGTTGGTGCATGTTGCCAAGATAACGGCATGCAAAAAGTGGCATGTCCCTCATTATACACACTGACTGATTTTAATCTAAATCAACTTTTAAGTTTTAACTGCACAGTTTGCTCATATGCAAGAACCACAGGAACAAACAAGTGGCATGCACCATTATCCAGGGACATAATTTATTCGTATGTATCGTTAAATCATGGCACATGGATCCAAAAAGACTGGCTCAGAAAAGAAATTTCCAATAATATAACATCATATCCTGTCAAAACCAAATTTATGAAATAAGTGCATAGGCATAAACTAAAACAGCTGAATCACCTGTGCACAATATTTCGCTCATGAAGGTAGTTTAGGCCATTTAGGATCTGCCTAGTATATGCTGAAACTTGAGAATCTTGCAGTCGATACTTTTGATACAGAGATGAAAGCGAACCTTGTGTAACAAGTTCAAGGAAGATGTATAATTTTGAATCCTCCTAAAAATTAATTCATATCACATATCAGTTAGAGAATGGAAGTAGAGATTACACCATGAAAAATAAAATAATATTTATGCCATTAGTCAAGAAAATCTCAAATATTCCAATCTACCAAAAGGATAATAATAAAAATTAAAAGCTTCAACTATCCCTATCTTGTGATTTTATATAATGACATATTTATCTAATGCTTTTCCCCTTTTTTAAGGTACAATTTTAATGGCATGCAAATAAAAATAAAATTCAATAAATACATCTGTCAGAAGATAAATTCATGAAAAGCTAAAGTGGTGAAATAGCAAGATTGGAAAAACAATATACCTTGTCTGTTCCGTAATATTGAACTATGTTTTCATGTTCAAACTGACTTAGAAGTGCGATCTCCTGGAAGCAAAAGTTAAGGAAGAAAGTTGAGAACACTTAACCAATTTTCCAATTACTCATTTAGATCCATGAAAGTCCCAGCACATCTATAATTAGAAAAGAGGATAAAATAACTTGCAAACAATATTGAAAATGGTAAAGAATTAGTGAACTAGATCAATGTAAAGGTAAAAATTGACATTATCCTACCTGCTCAAGTTGAATAATACATTGTTCAGCATTGCTTCCTTGGTCAAGCAAAGATACTTCTTTGACAGCAAAAAATATACCCTCACTATACAAATGAAAAAACATGCCTTAATCAAAGAGTAATTCACCAATTTAATAATACTCGAGAATTATATTTTACTGAGCATACTGAAAATATCATTTAAAAAAGAGAACTGTGTTTTAATGAAACTAGATCTCCAAGTAAAAGACTGATATATACATATATAACCATTAAATGATGTCTGGCTGATAAAGCTTACAAAAGAAAAGACTAACACAAAGTAAGAACTTATGGAACTTGGACACATGAAATTAGAACCAACCAAGCAGTTGAGGAACCTATAGACCTCAGATATATGAAAATATGATCATCCAAGAAGTTAACAATTTGTGAACATCAAGTGTGAGCTAAGATTATTCATCCTACTTCTCATGCCAATTTACAATTTAGTGATTCACATTATATACATACTAATGAGTCCTAAGCAACTAATTTATAAAGCTTACAACACTTTTAATTATGAGGAATCAAGATCTCCCTCTCTCAAAAGAAGAAGAAAAAGAAGAGTTGAACTAACACCTGCTTATTCTTCAAAGTTTGAAATATCTTTTGAGATTTCATATTCTAAATGTAGTTTAATTGAATAAAGAGGCATAAAACCTAAATGAAACAGTAAGGCTGCATACACAAATATTTCTGAACAACAAAAGACAACTCATGTTAATGGGTTTACACACATCTAATTGGCAAAATCACAAAATATAGCCTCTTTATACATTCTGCTCTTACGTTCACGAATCAAACAACTTCACTATCAAATGTCAAACACCAAGGAACTTTATCCTATAAATGCTTCCTGTCTAGCAACCAGCCTCTAACATGAATGCAAACCAAACTCTTAGAAATACTCATTTCATATCTAATTCTTCTTTAATCTCTCTCCAAAAACTATCCATAACATATTGTTTACACAGTTTAATACTAACTGGCTTGTTCTCAACTTCTAAATTTCTATAAAATAATTGAGTTTCCCATATTAATACTTTGTGTTGAAAACTTGATGCATCAATGGGTACATAATTAGTTCCTATTCCATTGTCTGCTTTCATCCTCTAAGTCATCTTTGACTTCACACAAAAATATCTCAAGAACCTGAAATTCTTATTCCTATCCCTAATTCTAAATCCACAGTAAGCTACTTATATAATTTTCACTAGGCAGGCACAAGTAAGCTTGTCAGTGTTCTTCAAAATCACTACCTCTAATTAAAAGCCTCCAATCTTCATCCTTCTATCATCTGCATTACAAGATTACCGATATTATTTTCTTTTTTTGCAACTTCATAGATGTTATTTTAAGCCCCCCAAAGAAACTCCTAAGCCTTAAGTTTCATATCACTAGCAGCTTAGACATGATTAGATACTTTCTCCCTTCTAAGAAATATGTATGTCTGTGACCCAGCTCAATAGTCCTGCTCAATACAATAGGCTCAAAATCACAGCGTCCAAAATGCTTAAACCCTAATTATTATGGGTAGACTGAAATAACCTATATACAAATCTAAACGATAAGCTTCTGATATGGGACTATTGTGGCATGATAATCTCCTACATTCAAAGGAGTAATGTCCTCATAAAGACCCAATGCAATTTAAAATCATTCACTAGTAGGTGGCATGTGAGGCCTATGGCCCAATGGTGACTCAGATTTATCCCATCTGATTATAATTCGAAACCATAAACTTTGACATGTTTTAGTTGTGATTGACTGAAAGAAATCCATGAACCCAAATGACTTGGATATAACAAGCCTAAAGGCACATGAATCAAAATGATTAAGCCCTTAATAGTCATAGACCAATCGGGCAATTTATATCATCAATGCCCAATATGGGACTATTGGAAATCACAACATATTCAACACTAAATAATCACAAGGCATGAAAAAATCTTAACACCTTATTAATGTGATCGTGAAGGAAAAAGATGACTGACAAACTTAGGATGAGGTTATTTGAACTGTGTAACTAAAATAAATATATATGCAGATACAAAATTAAGATAGGACAAGTTAAAACTCCCTGTGCTGACTATGTAGATATCTTAGATGGGCTATGTATCCACCTCAAAATGGAAGAGTAAAAAACAAAAATAATGTTCATAGTTTTTACCACCATATTGTACAATTTGTGGAAAAGTTAACTATTTGCTTATTTACAGGGTTGTCTAAAAAGACAACTGTAGCTCTGCTTAAAATATAAGCTACAATTTCTTACAATTGCAACTGACTAACCTGTGCATATCCCACAGGTACTCAACAACAGACAATTTTAAAGTCCATAATTAACACCGTCAAGTTATGGGATTCTTCACTAACTATGGTTGTCTTCACTAGGATAAATTGGTTTCCTTTAAGAACTGTGGGAGTATTCTCAAAAGTAACTGAAATCCCACTAGAAGTATTTTGTAGGTAAATGGCAACCTCAAGAATCTAAGCCATACATATAAAGAAACAAGAATTTCTTGGATAGATAATTTTAATTCATTACTTACTCGCTTATCCCTTCATACACCATTCCATAGGAACCGCTACCCAGGAGCATGCCACGCATCCATGATTTTATCTTCCGCTTTAACCAACCATTTGGTGAGATGGTGAATGTTGTCTCAGTAGTCGTACTGCATGACTCATCGTCGTTCATCGTCGAGTAAGAAGATGTCCCTGTGAAGTCCTCGGGGGTATCCTGCAACCACAGTTCCCTCAACTCCTCCTCACTGACTTCATCGCCCACGAGAATCTCCCCCTTCCCCTTGTTCTCCTCAGAATCCACTGATTTCTTCCCACGTGCCTCAAGATCACTTTCCTCTGGGGCAACAGTTCTGACAATATCTGAAGTCAAATTTGCTGCATCTGTGACTGCAAGGGAAATCAATGGAGCTGGTTGAAGAGTTGATGATGAACTGTAAGGCTCATGTCTCAAAGAAGGAGATGAAAATTTTGTCATTGGCGGTGGAGGGGAAAGAACTGGAGGCCGGACTCCTCGAATTCCACCTCCTCCCCCAGAACTCGGAGACACACAGGATTGGCCACCAACAACCCCAGTTTCGACCTTTGAATCATCAGTGAGCTGCCCACATTCCTCTTCAGGACCGATCTGGCTTACAATCACTTCTGCGGATGCTGAAATGGGTTCCAAAGGAGTCCGATCAGACACCAAGATTGGATCTTCAGACGCAAAGGCGGGATCTTTATGGGTTGGGCTGTCCAGCTGGAGAAGCCTGGACCTGGAAAGGACGTCGGAGGATAACCGCGCCTTGTGCCTCTCCCACTCGTCCTCAGAAATAGCGAAATCCTCGGGGCTGTTGAGGCCGAGACTGCGGCAGAGGATGTCTACCTCGCCTTCAATGCTTCCGTCGATCCGGAAGCTCGTCTGTTGGGCATACGCGGACGAGAAGAGGTCCAGAGGTCGTGCGGCGCGGAGGTCGGGGTTTTCTTCGGTCGCGGCAGAAGAGAAAGAGGTCGAAGAGGAACCCGCGACCTCATACTCGACGTACTTGACCGCGTTGCGCCGCACCAGCTGCGGACGCCGTCCCGTCACCTGCTGCTGCTTGCTGGAGTCCATCGTGCCGCGTCCGGAGCTGGAGGCGGCTCTCCTACGGTTGAAGAACATACGTCGGTGGCGGCGATAAACCCATCAGGAAAAAGAGACCCCCAAGGCACGATTTTTACCAACACCGGCAACAAAGGGAATAAAAAAGATGCGAACTTCGAAGCCAACAAGAAGAATCGACAAGAAATTTCGACCAAACGCTAGGGTTTCTGATGCTTCCGGAGCCCAAGAAAAGGCGAAACCCAAAAAACAAATGGCCGTTCCGGGAATCGGGAGAGCGAACAGGAAGAGGGTGAAAGGATCAGGAATAACACGGAACCCGGCGGCGGAGACTTGGTCTCGATGGTAGGGTTCATCTCCTCCCCTTCCCATCCGCCATTCAATTCCGGGAAGGCGTCCGCTGTTTTGTGGCGTCACGGAAGCTGCCGCTGGAATTCTTGGGAACCAAATGGGCCACCACCCATGGATGCAACCGATGAATGACACAGATCCAGCACTAAAAGGAAGATCCAAAGAGCAACAGTGTGCCGGTGAGAAAAGAAAGCTCCGACATTACGGAAGAACAATACTCCGCCGCAATTTGCCAGCACACGCGGTGGATTTTTCCTCGAGCAGAAAAATATCTATATTAAATTAAACGACGAGTAATCTTTCTTTGAATATTCTCTGCTTCTCAAACTGATAATAAAATGGTCAAATAACATCATTTAGTTATCTTGTTTTTTATGATCTCGAAGTCAATTCCTAAATATCATGCTTCCAATTGGTATCCTCGTCGAAGTTTCATTCATCTTGGCACCTCTTCTTCTATTCCTCCCTCGAGTCCTTCTCCCGCTGCTGCATCCACGAGAACAAGTTCGTCAATTACGTGCATGCGATCGTGATGTGTGGTTTCTATCTTAGTCTTGATGAATGGCGATGATCAAAGTGCTACTCTAATAGTGCAGCATAACATGGACTGCAGGCAACATTTTGCAGTGAGGAGAACTTATCACAGCATTTGGATGGTGGAAAGACATGACAAACACAAATTGATTCATGTCTTAGTTCATGCTCACCACAGTTTTTACTCATCCACTCATTCACTGTGCACCAATCCAAGATGAACATGCCATAGAAGATTAGAAACTAGTCCTGATTATTAGACAAGACCATCTACAACTCAATATAGGGTTTTAAGTTTGTAGAATTAGCAGGTGGTAACTTTGGAGCAAAACAAGACTGGATCACTCGGTCTTCTTGGGGTCCTCCTCAGGATCGCGAAGGGTTCCGAACATCCAGTCCATCCATATTGTGTAATGCCCGTAGTTGTGACGATACGTCGTGTGATGGATGGTGTGGTAACCGGCACCCATGACAGGCCAAACCTTACCGTGAATGCAGTCATGGATGTTTGCAGTCCATAAAGCTTCGATGAACAGTAGTAGTATGTGACTCATGAAATGAGTTGGCACGATGAAGAGAGCGATCACATGCGGCACGGCCTGCAGTATCCCATCCAATGGATTGAATGCCAGTCCTGAAGAGAAAGAGAGATACAAAGTGTCAGTTTTCTAGCCTTTCAAAGTTTCAATATCAGACCAAGAAAGCTGCTGTCTACCAATTTCTTTGCTTTAGACAGGCTATCGCAAAATAGTGTTGCCTCTCAAATATTCTGTCTTACCCACGTTAGATTGATTCACCATACATATATCATACACATACGGCAGAACCACATATTCATAAACGAACAGTGTTGACTGTTCTTTAAAGGATCATCAAGGAAACCTTTGATCATTTAAGTGGTAGGGCTCAACTGTTCACCTTACAATTCTATGATCACTCTAAACTGTGTCATCGGCATAGCAGGTTGACCATTCTCAATGTTTTCCTGAACTGTTCATTCCACAACCTCTAAGGAATATGCTGCATATATGTTTTGACCGAGAAAGTGGAATTAATTACATGATAAACTTACCATGCAACAACAAATAATATCCCAACTTTAGGATTGGCCATGTAATTGGGAGAAAGAAGAACTTCCCCAACCATGCGCAGAAGGGTCATGCAGAAGGATGATAAGGTCATTTCCTTGTGAAGGTTGAAATCTAGTTTCGACAGTACTCGTATACACAGAAATATGTCTTTAGAGTAGAATATTATAAGAGGATTATTTTGGCACAACTAGTAGAAGTAGTTACAAATCCTATATTTGCAATTGCAATTTCTTAACAACATAAATAAGATTCCTGTGCAAGGTTCTTATAATCTATAATGGTTTTATGTAAAACATGTGCAGATGCAACAGAAATCAGAAATACAAATCTACAACTAAAAGAAAACTACCAAACTTAGTTACAAATTTTACTTCTAAACAAAGCTAATAATTTATGTTACAGAAAACTAAAGATGAATGTACATTGATAGTCAGAGGACCGATCAAGACTTTATAATCAACAAGTACTGTGAACTTACCAGCAAATGGAGAAAGAGTGTTTTGCTTGTTGTAGATGTGATGTGTTACATGAAGGTACTTGTATAATGGCTTTATATCATGCAGCTCTCTGTGCATCCAGTAAATTCCAAACTCGACAAGTACTAAATAGATGGCCAGATAAGTAAGATAGATCGGCCAACCAACTTCACTTATGCTGGAAAAACATTTGGTCCATCCTTTCTCAATCATGTATTCTGAGAGCGTCGGAAGAGCACAGTACCATGGCATAGCCTTCATCGCAACATATATTTGCAAAAGCATGGCCCTCTTTGAGGGTATAGAATCTGCCAAAAAGAAACAGAAGACCCAAGAAGATGGTTATCATTGAGAAGAACATAAAGCCATAAACTACTAAGAAATATGAACCTCTAGTGCATCCATGAAACCAGTTCTAGTCCATCTGATATACACTGATAAAGGAAACATCTTTTGTCATAAGAAAAGATTGTTCTGGGCTAAAATTGTTCTCTCAACGTTCCGTAAAGGCAACCAAAGAAACATACTGCCGATCAAATTGTTCCAAAAGATAGATGAGCCATGCTACCGAAAAAGAAAAATTTAGCATGTAGTGCCAATCCTACTAAATGAGTTCTGGAAAAAAAAAAAAAAGATAAACTACATAGATTATCCAATCCCAGAAGATTAACTTTAAATTATTTCCGTCCTTTCAATAGTCCATAATACTTAAGCTCAAATTAAAAATGTTATGGGGTGTCATAATATTCCTCACTCAAGAGACATCAAGGTCAAAATATGGCTCACTTTGATACCAATTATCAGACCTATTCACTTGATGAGATTGAACCACTAACCCAAATTGCTTAAGTCAAAATAACACTGGCAGACCCATCTATTCCTGCTATGAACAGCAGGATTTAACATGACAAACAACCAAATCCATTGATTCTATGAACAGCAAGAGAATTCCCTCTCAAGAGTTCCTTATTTCCTCCTGATACAGAGGCTTGAGGCTAAGCCAATCAAAGAACTACAATGGTGGATTTCTCATAACAAAAAAATGCAGTTCTTTTGACAGCATTCGTTCTACCTTTTCTGCTCCTAAACCAAGCACAGCCATACTTTGCATCAAATCAGCATCTGCCACTTAGATGACAGAACAAGCATACCAAGAAACAGAGGGAAATGAGAAATTTATCAAAACGGACACTACACCTCAAATCAAGAATCAAATTTTTTAGCTTCTATCAAGCAAATGAGAGCACGAAATCACCATTGAATACAAAGCTTACTGTTTACAGTTTATCACACCAAATCGACTCCAAAAGAAAGCGAAGTAGAAGAAAGAGACGACCTTTTGGGACGTAAACGTTTCGCTTCCAGTGGTAGATGTAGAAGCACCAGAGAAAGCCGGAGGCCAAGTAGAGGATATTGCCACCGAGGTAGTTGCGAAGCCACGACTGCAGCGGCCGGGGAAGCCGCCTCCAGGCGGCGCCGCCACCCGGCAGGAGCGCATCGAGCACGATGCCGTTGTACCAGTCCGTCTCCTCCACGAACTGGTGGAGGTACTCCGCCCTCTCCACCTCCATCCTCCTCCTCCTCCCGACCTCGCTATTAGCGAACGGAATCCGACCTCTTCAAGCGAAAAAGGACGAACCCTGCGTGTTCCGAGACCGGTGCGTCCGCTGGACCACCGCTTGGGGTTGTTGCTATGGTCATCCGTGTTCTCGCTGCGCTTAAAGTTTAGAGCTTCGGATCACATCACCGCCCGGTTAATCACCTCCCCTTCCACCCCTCTTGTAAAATCCCAATTTTATATATATATATATATATATATATCACTGCGTCTTATCCTTATATTTCATCTAATTTATTTTTAAGATTAATTGCGATAAAAAGTAGAGACAAAATACCAGCGAAGATTTGTTGTCTCCTGTGGCACGTGGGGCCATGAGATACGGCAGATCTCACACACGCAATAATCTTGCGGCGCGACTTTCCAAGCAGTCGACGGTGAACAGCCTCAATTATATATGGTAGGGAGTAATGGCGTGGATCCTCGATCGGACTTGTGTCTCAGCACAACCACCGAACAGGAGAAACACACTTGTCATTCGTCCATCACATGGTCCCACACAAAAAACCGCCGTGGGGCAACGTGAGAGTGGCCGACTTCCGTGTGGCGGTAAAAGCCACGAGACGGGTAGTTTGAACGATAATCTACGGATGACTGTTATCCACGCAGAGTGAATCGACCATGAGAAATGTAAGGGTGGACGTGGTCTCCTGCGGATCTCCACGATACACTCATGTTGGGCTTCGTATCGTCCCCCGGGATATTTCCGGGGTGACGCAGCGGTGCTCTTCCCGCGGAACCTGGCCACCTACCTCCGGCAAGCCGAGCCGGGAATCCTGCCACCTACCTCCGGCGAGGCGACACTACAGCGTGATGTCACTTCCACTGACACGCTCGTGCGCCTCGTGTCTCTCTCTCTCTCTCACACGCACACACACTTGCACATGGATCCTCCGAGGTGTCAGCTCTTTACGTTCTTTAGTTAATAATTTATTTTATTAATTGCTTTTGTTTTTTGAATCACTTGCAGGACTTTGAGAGCAGAAAAACCACATTCTTTCTTGGTGGGATTATTAGCTCACAAATAAATCAAATCCCAACATCTTTTGGATAGAATGAAAAAGGTCAAACATAACCAATTACTTTCAAAGCTTCTTCTAACATTTCAATATGCTTTTCTATGTCATTAGATTGATGTTAGTACTGCAACTCCTGCTTATGCCATCATGAACCTACTATTACAGCTAATCACTAAAAATATAATATGGATTAGGTTAATGATCTCAAAAATATGTTAGATTGGTGGACTGTTGCTCAAAGAGTTAAAGAAAATTAATTTCAATTGAGAAATAGATCATGAACTCTGGAAATACTATATGAAAAAACTCTGAAAGGAATAGAACTTCTAGTATGATCACTTGTGGTCCGCAGGTAGATTGATGAAAGGTGGAAGAAGACAGCATACAATTTGAGATCATTCTCATTCTAACTATAACTCATCTGAAGAAGTAGACTCCAAGAGTCAAATAAATGTCAAGTGAGATAGCAAAACATCACATCTGTAATGGCACCATGACAACCTTCATAGCAACAAAGGTGCGCAGTTCTAGTTTCGAAAGTTCATCCAAGTTCAAAGCCCTATGCTCATAGCTTTATAGATTTCAAATAAGGAAACC